CCATGATAAATAGTCCACTCGTCCATCCATCCACCATCCATCCACCCATCCACCCACCATCCATCCACCCACCCATCCACTCACCTAACCATGATAAATAGTCCACTCGTCCATCCATCCACCATCCATCCACCCATCCACCCACCATCCATCCACCCACCCATCCACTCACCTAACCATGATAAACAGTCCACTCGTCCATCCATCCACCCATCCATCCACCATCCATCCACTCACCTAACCATGATAAACAGTCCACTCGTCCATCCACCACCCATCCACCCATCCATCCACCCACACACCCACCCACACACCCACCCACCCATGTGTCTATCCATTGAGTGTCAAGAGCTGTGCTGGCCTTGGGTACCAAGTGAGCTCAAACCTGGCCTCTGTGCCCGGGAGGCACAGAGTGCTGTGGTCTGGTCGCCCTGACTGTCCCCTCTGACACAGGTCGGAGGGCATGGCCTGGAGGCTGCGTGTGTGTGTGCTGCACACAGGCCTCTGTGAGCACAGGTGTGTATGTACACTGACTCTGTGGGCACAGGTGTGTGTGCACACTGACTCTGTGGGCACAGGTGTGTGTGCACACTCTGACTGTGGGCACAGGTGTGTATGTACACTGACTCTGTGGGCACAGGTGTGTGTGCACACTGACTCTGTGGGCACAGGTGTGTGTGCACACTGACTCTGTGGGCACAGGTGTGTGTGTGCACACTCTGACTCTGTGGGCACAGGTGTGTGCACACTGACTCTATGGGCACAGGTGTGTGTGCACACTCTGACTCTGTGGGCACAGGCGTGTGTGCACACTGACTCTGTGGGCAGAGGGGCGCACTGCTCTGCTCTGCTGGAGGGAGGACCAGCACCGTCCGCGTGGACCCCAGGCCCAGCACACACCCATTCCCCAGGGAGCGTGTAGAGTCCTCAGACATGAACCTGGGACCAGAAAACAGGTGGGCGTCATGGTCTCTGGTCACCGGTGGAGGGAGACCTCGCCTTTCACAAAACTGCTGCCCCGTGGTGGCCACCAGGGGGCGAGTGAGCACTGCCCTCCTGGCCACCGGGCAGATGGCAGCCGGTCACATGGAGGGAGGGCAGGGGGTCACCCCCCACCGAGCCTCGTCCCACTGACATAAGGGCTGGCCTTAGGTCTGGGGAGGCCTGGGGTCAGGTATGGGGATGGGGCCTGGGGAACCAGGTACGGTTTGGGGGACCTAGGGGGTGGTTTCAGAGCCAGGGAGAGGAGAGGTGAGCGTTCACTGTCGCCCACGCGCCCTGGGAGGCATGGCCGAGGGCTCAGGGCTGGGACCTAGTCTCCACCTCCTGCCCTGGCCCCCCTCACATCACCCCTTTACCCTCACCTCTCTCTACCCCAGCGGGGCCCCCACAGCTGCCCCAGAATGGCACCCCCAGACCTTCTGCTCCCTTCAGGTCAAGGCCAGAGCCCCCCAGGGCCTGTCCACCCCTGCCCATCCCTTGCAGCCCACCCCCATTTCCAGCCTTCACCCTACACCTCCAGGCACTGCATGGGGCTCACCTCTTCCCCTCCCCCTCCCTCTCCCCGCCACAAACTCAGGCCTCCAGGCCTCAGCCCCTCCACCCTCCTCCCACGCGGGGGGAATGGACAGGTGGGAAGAGGGAGCAGGTGAGGGCTGAGTCGGAGGCTGGCGGACCCCCCACTGGAGATGGGGAGCTCGTGCCCACGGAGGCCCAGAGGGCAGGGATGGGACCTCGAGGGTGAGGAAGGGGCTCCGTGGCACGGACTCAACATCTTGGGGACACAGGACAAACGAGTCTGCCAGCTGACGTGACACGCAGATCTCTGCCCAAGTGCCCCACCCTACGGTTGACTGAGGGCCCTGCCTACCTGCGGGGGCTCGTAGGGGACCATGACGCTCTGCCTGCCAGTGACAGGGTCGTCCACATACTGCGAGAGGTTGTTGCCCTCCACACGGATGAGGTGGCTGGCTGGGGCAGACTGTCCTGCCGGGAGGGGACGCTGCTTCAGGGAGGTGCCCAGCCCAGGTCCACCCCGCCCCCCTGCCCCATGGCGCTGCGTCACCTGCCAGTCTCGGCCCCTTGGACCTCACAGGTTGACCTCCGGCTGGCAGCCCTGGTGCCCTCGGGGTCCCGAGCCCAGCAGCCCTGCCCCGCTCTGCCGGGGACCAGTACCCGAGGCCCCAGGCTGGCCGGGAGGACTTGCGGGGAGGCCGCGCCCAGGGTCGGCCCCTCCCAGGGTCCCTGCTGTCTCCCTGGCCACTGGGTCCAGGGGCCGGGGCGGGTGGGGGGGCTCACCTTCGTTGAAGTCCCGCCCGAGCTCATGGTTGGGGCAGCGCTTCACGACCTCAGTGACGTGCTCCGCCTTCTTGTAGACGGGCATGGCGCGGACGGCGGTGCCTGGGGGCGGCGGAGAGGACACCTTCACCTGGATGGGGCACGTCTTGGCAATTTGGCAGTACAGCTTCTTCAGGAGTGGGGAGTACTGGAGAGGAGGGGCCCGGGATGAGGCCACAGTCCCAGCTCCGGGCCCTCGCTGGGCTGTGCCCCCCACTGGACTCCCCCCCCCAAGCCTTCTGAGGCAGCCCCCCACGCGCCCAGGCAGCCCAGCGAGAGCAGCTGCTCCGGCACCCGCTGAGCCAGGCCCGGACGCTCTCTGCGTGGGTCTCCCGGGCCGAGCAGGTGCCACTACGCCCATTTCTGGATGCAGGTGACAAAGGCCAGGAAAGCGGGAAGGAGCTGCTGGGGGTGGGGAGGGGGGCAGTGCTGGGAGCCAGGCCTGCCAGAGCCACCTCTGGCTTTTCCCAGTGTGAACCTTAAGCCCCCAACACTGCAGCGGTTTGAGGTGGGGGCTGCAGCGCGGTGCTTCAGATTTAAAAGCCTGGAGGTAACGCTTTCCTGGCATTTGTGCAGAGGGATGTGCAGTCCTCAGGTGGGCCAGGTGACGCTGGGCTCATGGAACACAGGGGAGGGGGGAAGCTAAGTGCTGTGGCTTGGTTTGGGCCACTGGGGTGGGGGGGTCTGACCATGAAGCCCCAGGCCCCCCAGCCAGGGACCCTGCCCCAAGGGAAGATCGGGTGATACCCTTCCTGCCTCAGCAGACAGTGCCTAGGGGTCCAGGTCACCAATGCAGGGGCCCAGGCCGCCTCTCACCTGTTCAAAGGTGACTGTTGGTGACTATAGGGTGCCGAGCTCTCATTTCCAAGCTGACTGACCCCCCAATCGTTGGCTCCTGGGGACCAATCCAGGGCTCCTCATGCCCCCTCCTCATGCCCCAGGGATGGGGGCATACCAAGTCTGAGACTCCCCACCCCACACCCCCTGTGCCCCAACCTTTGCCAAAGAAGCTGGGGCCTGGCACCTTGACCCCAAAACATAAGGCCCCCACTGGCTACCAGTGCCGTCTCTCTGGCCTTCCAGGTACAGACGCAAATCCAGGTACAGGAAAAGCAAGGGAGAGGGAGACATGGGGGGTGCAGGTGGCCCTGAGCTCAGGAGCAAGGTCCCCAGTGCCCTCAGCCTGTGCAGGGCGAGCTGCCCTCCCTGCCGAAACCCAGCCTGAAGCACCCCCCGTCCATGGAGGGGGGTCCGAGGGCGCCTGGGGCAGGTGGGCTGGGGCCTCCTGTCCTCCAGGGATTGGGACCTGGCTCAGCCTTCCTTGGGCACTGACCTCAGGACCAGACCCTCGTTCCCTGTCACGAATGAGAACTGGATGCCTGTGGGGTTGGCCCCCTCCCAGGCGCCCCACCCCCTGAGTTCCCTGGAGCCCAGGGCAGCCCCTGACCCTGTGCCTGGGAAGGTGCCCAGTGAGCGCAGTGACCTGGACTGGGAGGGCAGGACCCCATCTCTGCTGGCCGCCCACGAGCCCCCACAGTTCTCTGACCTGGAGCTCCGGCCCATGCCTGAGATGGGGCCATTAGGCCCACCGAGGCCGGCCCAGGTGGGCTGCAAAGGGCGGGCGGGAAGTGACAGGCGTCTCTGGCCCCCACACAGCTCTGGAGGCGGCTCAGGCGCCAGGGAGGAGAGAGGAGGGCACCCCTCCCTCCCTCTGCATCCGGGGCGAGGCCACCGCTGGTCTTGGGCTTTGCCCCTCTCCCCACAGTGGGTGCCCAGCCCTGTGCTGCCCGGCTCTCTGCTCACAGGGGGTGGCGCTGTGGCTCCGGGCAGTTTCTGCAGCGATGGAGCTGGGTTCCAGCTGCATTTGAGTTGAGGGGCCCCCGTACCCCCTTCCCCCAGCTAGGTCCCTGATAGCCTCTGTGGTCTGAACGGCGAGGGCGCTGCTTCGAAGCCCCTCCAGCACCCCTGGCCGCCCCCTCGGAGCCTGGGCCCTGCTTCCCCAGCAGCCGCTGCTCAGCGCCCATTCCGCGGACGGGCAGGCGGGGGGCAGGGCTCAGGGCAGCCCCCAGCTGAGCCCCCGGAAGCCCAGGTGGGGGCCCCAGTGGGGATGGGGGCTCTGGGCTCCTCGCAGGAGTTCCCGGGAAAACGCAGGTCCAGCGGCGCCGGTGGCTGGAGGCCTGGTGGGGGTGGGGGGTTCGGGGAGCTGCGTGGTCGCCCCGCCCTGGGGAGGAACCGCCGGGAGCTGTCCCTGGTACTGCGCAACTACAGGTGGCTGCCCCTCCCGGAGCCGGGCGGGCTGGGGGTGCGGAGCCGCCGGATGGGCAGGTCCTCCTCTGGGCAGCAGCGAGGGGGCTCAGGCGCCAGGGAGAGAGGAGGGCACCCCTCCCTCCCTCTGCATCCGGGGTGAGGCCACCGCTGGTCTTGGGCTTTGCCCCTCTCCCCACAGTGGGTGCCCAGCCCTGTGCTGCCCGGCTCTCTGCTCAGGTGGCCCTTGGGCACACACACCTGCCAGCCGCCACCCAAGAACAGAGCAGGGCAGCTTCAGGTGGCGACACAGGTGGCCTTGGGGAGGAGGGGGCCTAGGATGGCCAAACGTGGGGCGGAAGCAGGGTGTGACCTGCGGAAGGAGCCCAGAGAGGCAGGCATGAGCCCGGGAGGGTGTGAGCCCCCCACCCCCGCAGCAGCTGCTCCCCCTTCCCAGGGCAGCTGGGCCTGGGGCTCAGCCCTGAGGAGAGCAGGCAGGGAGGAGGACGCCTGGGTCCCCGACATGCTGTGGTCAAGGTCACGTGGAGGCGCTGCCTCTCCTCTCCCGCCCGCCGCTCCTTCCCCAGAACCGCTACATGGATGTGTTTCAACAGATTCTGAGCTGATAAAATCTTATTTATCTTCGGCTGTTGACACAGAGCCGTCTAGACTTGCCAGGTCCAGGATGCGTGTGTTCCTTCATGCTTACAGGAAATGGTGCGCCCAAACGCTGGAGTGTGCCCATCCTGCCCCCCCTTCTCTGCTTGGAACCCCCCCAAGTCCACGCTGGCCTGGCTAGGAGCCCCAGGCCTGACAGGGCTGGTGCGGGGGCGGTGGGCAGAAGGTGGCGGGTGGCAGGCTCAGCACAGAGGCTGTTAATTTCCTTGGGCCCACTCCCCAGCAGCCGGGTGCCGGCACGGGCAGGTTTGGGCAGGAGGGGAGTGGAGAGGTGATAATAACTTGTCTGTCATTTTCCAGGGACGTGTAGCATCTTGCAAACCGCAAATACCGTTAACCAGCGTGGGTGAATCTGTTACAACAGATTCTGGGCCATGGGCTGCAGTGGGGGCTCTTTCTTTCCACGTGATTCTTTAGAGCCCACTTTTACCTGCTTTCCGTGCATGCGAGCCTGTGTGTGCGCGTGTGCGCGTGTGCGCGTGTGCGTTCAGAGCCACACTTCTCTCCTCTTGGGTTAAGACCCCATTGAGGAACCCCTTAGGCCACAGACCCTCACCCTAGCTGCTGCCCAGGACCCTTGGCAAGGGGCTCCGTGGATTCACAGGGCGGGCTCTGAGACTCACAGGGAGCCCAGGTCACCAGCCCCGGTACCAGTCTCCCCAGGAGAGGGGCCTCCCGAGGTGACAGCAGCCACAGGACACTGCGCCGGCCCCTCACGGGGCCTCTTGCCCTTCCCTGCGCAGCCTCACCGCTATGCTCTTGCGTTTTCGCTCAGAGAGCTGCTGGGAGCAGGTGGGCTCTGACAGGTGTCAGGGAGGCCTGGGCAGGACCACAGTGAAGCCACCAGCTCGGAGAGGAGGTGGGGCCCCTGTGGCCATCATCCAGCCTGCTTCAGAGCACCCACAGTCAGGGCAGCAAGGGTCCATGCACAAGGAAACCCACGGGCAACACCCCAAGCTGGCCACGGGCATAGCGGCCGGAGGCTGCTGGGCGCGCCTGGCCGCCAACAGGGCCAGCGGCTGGCCTGGCACACGTGCTGGCTCAGAGAGGCTGCCGTGGTTCTTCAGGAGCTCCTGGCCGGGGCAGGGGACAGGTGCATCTGCTGACAGCCCACGTAGGCTGTGGCCAGGAGTCCCCTTACCAGGAGCCCAGACGAGGGTGAGCAGGAGGCGGAACACGCTTTGCAGGTGCCAAGTGCCCCTGACCACTGCCCGGGGGAGTCCCCAGAGGCTATGGACAAGAAGCTGCCCACTGTGGAGAGGTGAGCCTGGGGCTGAAGGGGCAACCCTCGGGAGACGGACAGCCCGCCCAAGATGCCCTCCAGCCAGGTCCTAAACTGAGCAGGAGCCGCCAGGAACCTTATGGCCTGGAAGTGCCGTGTCCCCAGACCATGGGCCTCAGGCCAACTCATCTCGCGTGTGGCTGCAGGCTGGCAGAGAGCATGTCCACGGCTCAGTCCTGGATGGAGGTCTGGGTGGCCATGGGCAGCAGGTGTGTGCTGACCTGACCCAGGAGAGAGGCGGTGGGCACCATGTCTGCAGTGCAGAGTGAGGGCCTAGCACGCTGACGGTCAGCACGCCAGGGGCCAGGCCGGGGGAGTGGGGGTTGAGACGCTGGAGGCTGCGTGGGGCAGTGGGGTCCGGGCCTCCTTGTTCTGCACATCGCTGGGCCTCCCCCGGACCCCGAGGACAGAAGGGTGAGCAGGGCGTGTTCTGGTCCTTGGGGACAGGACTGGGCTTTCAGGAAGCCTCTGATCTCCCGCTGGCAGCCGCCCTCCCACGCCGGGCACACAAACGACGGCCACGTCTGATGCACCACCCTCAGCCTCAGCCGGTCCAAGCACAGGTTACTCTGCCCGTGAGCTTGGCTCTGACCTTGCCCACCAGAGGAGGCAGGCGGCCTGGCGAGGACCCAGTGAGCAGGGCTGTGGGCCAGGCCACAGAGGTGCCCAGCACGGGGATGAAGTGGGTGGCCGGCCACCAGCCCGGCTCTGCCCACCACAGGGTGGGGCCCTTGCCTGCGGGAGGAAGGAGTCCCCGCTGCCCTCAGCCCTGTCTTGCTTTGTCCTCCAAGCCAGCCTGGCCTTGTTGGCCGAATGACTGTGAGAGTCAGTCCGCCTAGGCAGGGCGCTGGCGTCAGCGGCACCTTCGCCTCGCAGGACAGTCCTGAGAGCCTGACCCCGGCACGCCGTCCTAGACGCTGCCATGGGATTGGTTAGGGCCGGCACAGCGGGGCCACCCTCTGCCTCTGCAGCTCCCAGGACGGTCTTGGGGCCGGAGCTGGACCAGTGGCTGGCGGCTGGGGGAGATGAAGGACGGAGGCCAGGCTGTGGCCCCGGCTGTGGCAGGGGCTCAGGGTGGCAGCTCACGTTGGCTCCAGCGGGGTGCCCTGGGGACGGGGCCCTCCTGCCTCTGACCTTCCTGCCGCAGAAGCTACAGGCGGCCCCCCTGCGCACCATTCAGAACCACCACTGAAGACCCCCTCCGACCCAGAAGCAGATCGCCCCCTCTTCACTGAGTGAACTCCACCCCCAGCCAGCAGGAGAGGGGCCCACAGTGTCTAGTGACCTTGGGGACCTGCTCCGGATAGGTGGGGGTCGTTTTTCAGCCTCTAATTCCAGGTAGTGGCACGAGGCTCCCACCGAGCCGTGTAAGTGCCCGAGGCGAGCAGGGTTCGTCCCTCGTGCGTCCTGTGGCCGCTGAGCCAGGTCTTGGCCCCGCCCCTTGTTAACAGGTGACCTTGAGCAGAGACCTGCCCCCTATGAGCCTCGGTTTCCTCATCCGTAAAGTGGGGCGAACACAAGAGCCTACGACGGGTACCCCGGGAGCTTAGGGTGGGACTTGTGACGTGGGGGCTGTGCTGCTGATCAGACATCCAGGGTCCACGGGCCCCTCTCCCTCTGTACCCTGAAAGAACCAGGAGGTGTGAGGCGGGGGCCACCCACCTGGGATTCAGGCCTGGGCCCCTGCGGTCCAAGGGCTCCAAGACCAACTTCTCTAACCTCCAGGCCCAGGGGCTCCCCAGCTGCTGGAGAAGGCGGAGAGAGAAGAGGTGACCCCCAGCTCAGGCCACAAGCCCGGGGCGCTGAGGCACGGACCTGAGCCAGTGCCGGCCTCCAGGCGGCCAGGCCCGCCCCGCGGAGCTTTGCAAGGTGCGAGCAACTGGACAATTTCCCCCTGAGTGTCATTTCCTCTTAAAAACCCGCCTGTCACAATAAACACTGTCAGGATGCTTCCCGCGGCTTTAAATGCGCATAATTGCTCCGGTGCCAGTAAAAGGCATTAATTCCACTTATGCATTCCATAAACTTTTAGGATAACGCAACTGATACCGTGGTCGTGTTGGGGCACCTCCGCTGTTATTTTCCTGCCTGCAAACCTCCGAGGGGCTGGAAAGTTTTCTCTTGAATCCATTAGTGTTGACTCAGCCGCCTTCCACCCCAGAAGCTCGCGCAGCTCTGGGCCCCACCCCCCCACGGCTGCCTTCCACACATGTCCCTTCCGGGGGCAGAAGGTGGCGCTGGCCCCTAGGGCGGAGACACACAGATATGCCCGCCAGGTCTGAGGGCAGCGGGAGGTCACTCAGGGGCTATCTGGAGGCCGCCCCAGGGACTAGCTATGTCATCATCTGTGCACAATCCACTGTCACACCCCAGGCTGCTGGCCCCGCAGGCTGTTGCCAGGGCCACTGAGTCCCCCCGAGGCTGGGTCAGGACTCCAAGCCTTCCTGCCTGACCTCAGCACCCCTTCCCCAAGCATCCTGAGGGGCGAGCACACACCCCTGCCCTGGCGGGGCCCAGCCTGGAGCAGGGGGAGGCTGAGCTGGGCTGGACAGCGTCCAGGTGCCCGTCTCTGAGCTGCTCTGACTCTCCACTCCTCCGGCCTCCTGTCGCCGGCCGGCCCCATCACTGCCAACCCATCGGGGGCCCCAGGATAGGAGTGGCCACCAGGTTGAGGCCGGGCCCCGCCCCTTCTCAGACCCCCACAGCGTCCCGGGAAGGTGTGGGACAGGGACGAAGGCACCTGGCTCCACCATCCACCTGTCTAAGAAAAGTCAGCGTCCCAGGGTGCCGCGCCTCGCTCACAGCCGTGGTCACTCGTGGTGTCTGTCTCTCCCCGAAGCCCAGGTGAACCCTGCAAGGGGCCAGCCCGCTGCACCGCTCCACGCAGCATCCCCGCCGGCCAAACCCCGCCTCCCCCCGACGCCCTGCTCCCTGCTCTGCAGCCTCCTTGAGGAGACCTGAGACCCGCCTCCTCTGGCCATCTGTGGGGGCGAAGGAGGCCTGCACGGGTGCGTGTGCATGTGTGTGTGTGTGTGCCTTTGTTCACACGCGTGTGCTGTGTCTGCACGCGTACACGCACGTGCGTGCCTCTGAGCTGAGGGCTCCAGACCCCCGGTGCCCAAGGTGTGAGATGTGACATCTGAGGGAAGCTGGCCAGGGCAGGTGGACCGCCCAGCTGAGGCCTGGGCCAGCCAGAGACCAGAGACCCCATCAATAGCCGTGGTGGCAGGGGGTGTTTTTCCTATGCAGGAAGAAGTGTGAAGGCAGCAGTCAATTTGGAATTGTACTTGAGAAAAATATGAATTATCTATCAGTTACCAGCCGACTGGTGTGGCGGGGGCTGCAGACCATGTGGCCTGAGCGGCAAGTCCAGGCAGCGCCCGCGCAGTCAGACCCCAGAGCTGTGAGCAGGTGGGCGGCGGGGGGCCGTCCCGCACGTGAGCCGCCCAGCCCGCCCTGGGCGAGGAAAGGAGCCTGTGGGGGTCTGCATGCAGAGAGCGAGGTGCCAAAACCTCATTATCGATGTTTGTCCTGCGAAGGTACGGGCTGGGAGGGGCGCTGCGGGTGCCCGCGGCCGCTCCCTGCCCCTCTGCCCAGCCCTGAGGGCAGAGGGCCTTGGGGCGTCCAGACAGGGACGGAGGTCTGCACGGCTCGGGCGTGGGGGTGTGGGGCCGGAGCTCGGAGGCAGAGCTGGTGGCACGGGTGAGCCTTCCCCTGCCCCCTGAGGTGGCTGGCCGGGACAGACGACCCCGCGGAGCCACTGAGGGCCAGGACAGCTGTGACCAAGCCCTGTGTCTGCCCACCTGGTGGTGGCAACTGGGGGTATGGCTGAGGCCCCCAGACAGGGGGTGCAGCCAGCAGAGAGGCAGCTGCTGCCCCCCCAGGACCAGCTCAGACCCCCGAGGCCCTCCATTGCAGAGACCACACCAGCACCCTCAAGTAGCAGAAAGGAGAGAGCCAGGACCCCCACAGTGCCTTCCAGGACACCTGGGGGACCAGCAACTCAGGCGCCGATGACAGCGCTTGGGGCCGGAGGGACCAGGGCCCTTCCCCTTACTGAAGAGAGAAAGGGCTGGGGAACAAGTCTGAACACGGACCAGTAGTGAACCGCCCATCAGTGGAGGTGTGCAAGTGTGGGGATGCCTTGGGGGCCCTCTGACCTGGTTCTTGTCACCCAGCCAGACCTCAAAGCTGGGGCGTGGGGACCAGGACCTCACAGGCAATAGAGAATCAAGAGAACCCTCCTCCAGGGGAACCCAGCTACCTGGCACCCCATCGCCGCCTCCGCCCGCCAAGGAAATAATGGTAGAGACAAGTCGCCAGCTCCGACGTGCTGCGCAGCGCCGGCCCCTCGTAGCCTGGTCACCACCGTGACAAGGAGCATCGGGGTGACAATTTACAATGAGGAAAAAGGGCTCTGACAAGGCCGCGGCGGTCCCTGCCCCTCTCGGCCAGCGGAGACCGTGGAGTTGGGCTGAGCCTTAACTCAGCGATGGGTCAGCACCTGGGGGAGCCTGCAGCCCCAGCGAGGACCAGGAACAGCCGCGGGGAACCGTGGCCGAGAGCCCAGACCGCAGACGGGCCCGTGCATGCCTGGCCCAGGCCACTGCGGCTCCGGGAGTGTGAGAAACCACAGTCTGGCTGGCCGCAGACTGAGGACCGGACCGGCTCTTAAAGCAGAGCCTTGGGGTCACCTGCTGGCCACTCTCACGGGAACTTCTCTGCTCCAGGGTCCTGTCCCAGGTGGGGCTGAGCGTGGAGCTGGCACTCCTGGGAGGAGGCGGCACTGCCCGGTGGTGGGACAGCCAGGTGTCCACGGGGTGGGTGCCAGGCCAGGGCTTACTCCCCGCTCCGGGGGTGGGCAGGGGGCCCAGAGGGCCTTGGGCTGCCTTTGCCACCAACGCTTGCGAGCCCACCCCTCGGAGGCGAGCCTGAGCTTGCCTGGGGGTCTCGGCATCCTGCAGCCTTTACCCTGCCGGTGGGCACGGCTGGCAGCTCCTTCCTCTCCCTTGTGCAATGTGGACAGTGCAGCCCTGGGCCGAGGAGTGCAGAGCCGGAGCCCAGCCCCCTGCTCCCCATGCCAGCACCCAGCTTACCATCTGCACAGCTCTGAGCGAGCTGCTTGCCCTCCCGTGGCTCAGTCTCCTTGGCTGCACAATGGGACAGTAACGGATTCTGGGTGGGCATGCTGTGGGGAGCTGGGCAGTTTGAAGCATCCACGTGGATGCAGAGTGCTTAGCGCAGGGCCCAGCTCTGGGGCCGCGGGGACACGGGCTGTCATCCAGGTTGGCACGGTCCCGCGGGGGGCCAGACCTGGGGTCTGCAGGGCTGTGGTTCTCCCCCCGCTCCCTGTCTCTTGCCCGTGCTTGAGGCGGCACCGCAGACACCACGCGTGCGGGCCGAGCCCACGTCGAGAACCCCCGCTGGCTGGCGGAGGCAGCTGCTGCTCACCCACCTCAGATGGCGGAAGGCGGCAGAGCCACCCACCTCTGCGCACCCAGGGCCGGGGTCAAGCTGAAGCCCCCAGAACAGCAGATGCCAGCCGGACAGCCCCGCGACCTCACTGGGGAACCACGTCCGTCCCCTCTAGGGCCCTGCAGGAGGCTGGCCGATGCTGGCCACACGTCCGAAGGGTGGGCACGCCCAGACTGCCCGGCCCCGAGACCCGCCTCCTGCCCCACGCCCCTCCTGACGGGGCGGCTCGCGCCCGCCGGACAGCGGGGCACGCTCGGCCCTCCCCCGTGCCCCGCAGACGCCCGCTGGGAGCGGGGCACGACTCACCGTCCAGGTGGCCGACTTGGCTGTGCTGGATTGCTGGAAGGTGACGTCGAAGTGGTGGGGGCCGGGGTAGTCGGTGTTGGAGGGGATGACGGGCGCGGGGGACATGGTGTCGAAGGTGGAGCTGGGCTGTGCGTACGGGGAGTGAGTGGGCACGCTGGCCGCGTGCTCCGGGGTGTAGGGGCTGGCCGGGGCCGCCCGGCTGCTCATCTGGTCCATGGTGCTGCTCAGCAAATTGAACTGGGACTGGCGGGAAGTCAGAGGGAGGGGGAGACACACAGTCAGCCTGAGCGTGGAGGCCAGGCCCGGCCCGGCAGGGAGTGTCCTGTTACAGGAGCCTTAAAGGGCCAGCGGCTCCGTCATCCCAAATATTTCCTTGGTCCCCCCCCACCCTGACAGGTCACTACTTGTGCGGGGATAAACTGACACATTCACCTCCCCCTCCCCCTGCAGCAGCCTCCCGGGTGCCAGGGCTTCTGGGGCTGCCTGCGGGGCGGCCCCCCAGCCCCGGGCACCCTCCGGGGCTCCAGTTGCGCCATCTGGGGACAGCACTGGCCAGACTTCCCCAGCTCAGTCCCCCATTACGGCTCAGAGTGGGGAGACCCCCACCCCTGAGAGCCGGGCGGTGGGAGCGATGGGGCCTGGGCAGGGCGCGTCCTGGCCATGTCGGGGGGACGCACCCCAGCTCTGGTGCAGGGATGCCCGACAGGCCCCGGAGGCTCGGATCTGCCTGAAGGTCTATGGCTGAGCCAACAGCCACTTTGCAGGGGCCTCGTGGGGGGTGGGCTGCCTGGTCCGCGTCGGAAGGCCCCGTCGCCCAGTTCCTCCCGCTGGCAGAGTTCTACGTGGCCGCACCTGCCGCCGCGGGCACTGGGGCCCGGCTCCTCCCCCAGGCCACACGCCCGGGGACAGGAGTTCTGAGCGGCACTCCGCGGTGTGTCCCCTGGGTCACCCTCCGCAGCCGGCTGTGGCCAGATGGCCTCTAACCACAAACGCTGCACAGTTCCTTGTCTCTGCCAGGACGGTCCGGGTTTGATCTGACCCTCTGCAGGCCGGAGGTGGGCACTGCTGGTGTTTCCGTTTTACGGATGAGGACACTGAGGCACAGACGGGGGTGACTTGCCAGGGCAGTGGGGTGGAGACCAGCCGCCCGGGGCCGTGGGAGCCGGGACCTCGGGGACCGTGGAGATGGAGAACCAGGGGCTTGCGGCTGCTGGAAGGAGGGTCTGGGGTCCCGTGGTGGGGTGGAGCAGCCCAGGGAGACCCCCGCCTCCTTTCCCTGCCCCCTCCAAAGGCAAGCAGAAGAACGCCTTCGCCTGCCCCCCCAGCCCACGGCTCAGCCCTCTCTGAACCCAGCTTCTCCTCCATCCAGGAGGAGTGGGCTGCATAAGCCACAGCCTGTCCAGCTCAGCACGCCGAGGGCACACATCCCCGTGTGTCCGTGACAGAGGACCCCGAGCCCCCTGACACCCCTCTGGCCCAGGGAAAAATAAACTCAGTAGGGAAGACGCTCTGTTGAAGTCCACCCAGCCCGGAGGAAACTCGGGCGATGGCCGGGCAGGAGGGAGGTGACGGGTGACAGGTTTGTACCAAGGCCACGGCCCCGAGCCTCCTGGAGGCCAGGCAAGTGCTTTCCTCGGGTCATCCAGCCCCCGGGATGGCCATCTGCCACCCAGTGAGAACTTGGCCTGGCACCAGAGCTGAGCTGCCAGACCCGACCATGCTCTCCCTGGGGGCCAGCCGCATCGAGTGACGTCACGACAGATCCGTCCGGTGGCCCTGGGCAGCTCAGCTGCCGTGACCAATCCCACCCCTGGTACCTTCTGGCGGCTTTTCTGTTTAGACCTCAGAGCCATGGCACGCCGTAAACCCAGGGGATGCACGGGGGTCCCCGCAGGGTGGCCCTCCTGACTTCCCATGCCCTCACCTGTGAAACAAGGAGGCTCCATGGCCACCGGCGGCAAACGGACAGGGAGGATTAAACGAAGCGGGTAACCGATACCCGCTTTGGCCGGATGACACGCGACAACCTGCCAGGGAAAGAAGCCAGCCAGACGCCGCATCCCATGCGGACACAGATCTCCAGGGAGGGCAGAGCCACTGACATGTGGGTGGGTGGTCGCCGGGGGCTGGGGGCTGGGGGCTGATGGCTGAGGGGCACAGGGCTTCCCTTCGAGGCGCTGAAGATGCTCTAAGATGGAGTGGGGTGACAGGTACACGTATCCGAGGACGGACAGAGCAAAACCTACTGAGCTGCGCACTTGAACTTGAACTGGGCAGATCGTGTGTGACGTAAACGGTAACTCAACGAAGCCATTTAACACAAACAGAGGGACCGTCCTCGCCTCTCCCACCCGGCTGCCCTGAGGGGCGAGGGGAAACCCCAGCGCCCCCCACGAGAAGAGCAGATGCAGGAGCCCCTCACTCAGGGGCGGGCGGGGGCTCCCGGTGCTCTCGCAAGCCCCCCGCCCCGGGGCGGGAGCACACGGCCTGCGAGCCGTGGTTTCTGTCTGCCCCCCGCGTGGGACCGTCCCCAAAGGCAGCCACTGCCACGCGGAGGCCCGAGCTGCGGCCGGCGAGAGCTGAGCCGTGCTGCGGGGAGGGGCGCAGGGTTCCACGGCCCCAGCGCCACGCAGAGCGCGTCACACAGGGGACCTCACGCACGGTTCACAGCCAAAACAACCGGCACGAGCACCGTTTGGGATAAATTAAGTAAATTAGTAGGTTCCGTCCACCCGCTTCTCGTCACCTTCTTTAGTCTGGACACTAGAAGGTGCGGATGCCCCGTGGGGCTCAGACGCCAGTTCTCTCGCACGGCACTGGACCGGATCCTCAATCAGCGCCCGCCAGGCCAACGCGGGATGCACAGCTATTGTTGTCGTTGTTGTTATTATTGTTGTTATTATTATTAACGCTCCCTTCAGGGAGCAGTGTGTTTCTCATTACAAAGTGCTTATCGAGAGGCCTGCTGAGCCGTGGAGCAGACGAATGAATGAATGAATGAATGAACGAACGAACGAACGAATGGGCGGGCGATGGGGGCAGGTGCCACAGCGGCAGGACAGCTCCGCCTAGTACGAATGTCCGGGAGCGAGGACGGGATGTGAGCCGGCCCCTCCCGCTTGCAGGATGCTGAGAGCTGTGGGTCCCGGGGTGGGGATGGGGGGGCCCCAGCCTGCCCACCCCCGAGTCTCCATGTCCTCCTTTCCCTTCGAGGTGACAGCCAGGCCCTGGCGGCTGGGGCCCTGGGCCGCCTGAGGGCTGCAGACGGCCTTCCTCCGTGCTGGCCTCAGACGTGTCGGGGCTCCGGGTCTGGCCTTCCTGCCACGGCCTCCGCGTTCAGGAGGAGCGGGAGGCGGCTGTGCCGCAGCTTTGAACTTGCCCACATTCTTTGCCGATCGAGGCGGTGCCAGGGGATTAGTCACTGAACCTGCAGGCTGATAGGATCTCTGTGCCCAGCAGCCCCAGAGCCCGGCTCCCAGAAGGCCCCCCGTCTGCATACGGGAGGGCAGAGACCGCTCTGCACGTGGCAGGCCCAGCACCCTGTGGCCCTCTGAGACGCGGGCTCGGTGGCGTTCTGCGGTCCGGGGTCCTGTGAGCTCTCTCTTCTTTCCAGGGGACAGGGGAACCTCAGCAGTGTCCCAGCGAGCTCTGTGCGGTGGGTGCTCCTCCCACGTGTGTCCTGCCTCCCAGGGACACCTCTGCCTGCACCTCCACCCCCGGGAGCTGGCAGGGTTCCTGCCTCCTCCGCCCCGAGCTGCGGCTCTGAGTGCCATGGGGAGCGCACGCACCGGGAAGCCTGGTGGCCTTGCCAGCCCCCGAGGGTCCTTCTGCCCCTGCCCACGGGACACTCCCGCACCTCCTTCTCGGCGGCTGGGGGCTTAGCCGGCCTGCCCGGGGGCTGGAGCAGGGGAGCCTGGAGCCCCGCAGAGGCCTAGAGTAGCAGCGGGGTGGGGGGTCCCCCAGAACCAGAGGCCCCGGAAGCCGGGCGATACCCACTTGGCAGCCGCAAGAGCCCGGGCAAAATCAGAGCTTCTCTGCTTTGTTTTGTTTTCAGTGAGAACTCCCAAGAGAGCGGGCTGATCAGGACAGGCCCGGCCCGCGGCGCCCACGTGTGGCTGCATGTGCGCGCAGGGCTCCTGGGCCCGACCCAGGGGCAGCAGCGCTAGGGGACCACCCCCCAGGGACCAGGTAGAGGGTTCGCACCAGGCCCGCCTCCGAGGCCGGAGGGCCGGTGCCCGGGGTTCTGGGAGGGGCCGGGGGCAGATCCTTGCGGCGTCCAACAGAACAGGACGATGCCCGGGACCCCAACCAGGCCCTGGCGGCCCCTCTGGGCATCGCTGTCCATCTGCTCCACAGACCTGCAGCCTGGTGCTCTGCCTGCTGGGGGTGGGAGGCCGGGGTGGGGGCAGAGGGGAGGCAGCCTGCACGCCGAGCTCCGTGTCCGCCAAGGCCACTCGCAGGCTGTCTGCCCGGGGACCGTGTGCACACGTGTGCTCACGCACAGGGCAGGACACACGCAGGACGGGCCGGGGGCTTAGCCCTCGGGCTGCGGCGGCCAGAGGGGAAGGCTACGTGATGGGGGGGACGTCGGGGGAGGCCTGGCCCCTGGGCGGATGTCCCGAGGTGTCTGTGCAGCTGCCTCTCTGGGAACGGGGGTGGGGGCTGGCCTCCGCCAAGGCCTCCAGAGTCCTGGGGACACAGGGTGTGCCCCAGGAGCAGCGGGGGTGGGGGAGGCCCAGGGGGCCTCCCTGGGGTGTGTGCTTCCTAGCTCCGACCCTGCTGCCTCGACTGCCCCCTGCGCCTCCCGACACTGTGACCGGTGACTTCCCTCAGGGGCGTGGCCCTTGCACAGGTGACCCTTTCGCTCAAGGAGCCACCTTGCTACAGGACAGCCCAGCCCATGGGGGTCGCAGATGAGGAAACCGAGGCCGGGTCAGCCACGCCCAAGAGCAGGGAGGTCCCCAGTCCCCGGTCACACACTCGGAGTAGGGTCACCGCACGCCAGGCACGGGGGTGTGCACGGGAAACCCCAGAGCCCCAGCGAGGCCACTTCCCACCCGTTGTGTGGCACCTGGAACCCGACTGGACACTCAGAGACTTGAGGTTGAGTGACAGAGACTCCTAAACCCGTGTGGGCCCACCGTGCCTGCTCCCACTCCGGGCACCCCACGGCCAGCCGCCACTCGGTGAGGGCGGGAGTGTCTCCCCACACCCGTCCCGCCCCCACCCGT